GGCTTGTCCTTATTTTGTGTGTTGTGATGCTTGTGTTTCAGTGAGCAGTGGCTTTGCATCAGACAAACCCATGGCATGACACCTGTCACGAGACCTTGGCCTTCCCTGAAGACCTGGGGATGAGGGACAGTTTTTGCAGATCACCCAGGAGGAAAGGCTTTGTCTGTGAAAAGGGTTCCATAAAGCAACCTTATGATTTCTCTGTGCAAATGACATCCTGGAATCCAGGAAACCACCAAACACATGCTTTGGACACACTTGTAGCATTGGGTGTGGGAGAACCAGGGCCTCTTATGTCAGGTCCCTTTGCCTTCCCCAGCCCAGGGCAGGGCGCTGACACTTTCAGCTCTGTACTCAGCTGTGGAGGAACCAGCTTCATGTAGAGAGTGTGCTGTGGGAGTTGGCCTTCAAGAGCAGCACCTGTCCTCATCCTGCAGTCCTTCCTCGACCCTGAACCGGGTAGAGAACAAGGTTGAGAATGGGTGGGAGGAGTGGGGCTGGGCTCAGAGCTCTCAGTTGGCTCCTGCATGAAAGTCCAGAAACTAGAGCTTAAGCTTTACCTGACCTTCCTGTCCCTCTGCTGGCCTGGAGGGCTGGGTGTCTATCGGCACAGGAGTCTTCTTGTGGCATGGTAGCCTTGGTCCTGCCTGGAGGCCAACCCTGCCCGCCCCATCTGGTCACAGTGTCTCTAGAGGGAGCCCGAACTGCAGAGCAGAGCTGAGCCACACTGCCTGCCCTTCGACCTCAGGACCATCCAGCATTACTGAGCATCTTAGCCGTCTGGCCACGATACTCCTGCCAACTCGCGGCAGCTAATCCCTGACAGTTCTTTGTTTCCACACACAGTTCCGAGTCTAGGAGTCTGTGAGTTGGCCAGGCCACTTCTCAGGCTCCACGCCGTGCTGTGGATGTGAACCTACCATTCCAGTCCGTGGAGATTCCTTTGACTCCTCCCTCTGTCATCACGACCATGCACCTTTCCCCCAGTTTGGTGCAGCTGACCATTTTGATAAGATGATTTCTAGGTGCTGAGCACAGACAGGCCTTGATCCAGAGCAGGCGGCGCCGCCAGAAATTTCCCGGTGCACTTTGGGTCTTGTTTTTCAATCCAGCTGGCCTTCTCAGCCAGGCTCCTCGCTGTGCTGGGGGTGGGGGTGGGATCTTCAGGCTGAACCCCCCCCCCAAATCCCCACTGCTGAGGAGCCTGTGCTCCTTGGTCCTGTGTCCTCCTAGGGACAAGGATGAGGCTGCTTTTCCCCAGCCACAGTGTAAGATCGTCTCCTTCAGACTGTTGCTGCGGGGCTCCTGAGCAACTGGACAGACTCACTCCGGAGACTGGGGGTCCCACAAAGTTCTGAGGCTGAGACACCACAGCCATGAGCTGCTGAGAGGAAAACACAGACACAAGTCACCTCCAAAAAGGGAACGAACGTGGCCATCTTCCCTTGCGCATATGGGCTGGGAAGAGACTGGATTAGAGAAGTACTGCTGCTATGGCTGGATAGGTCTGGGTGCTGGATAGGCCCCCCAGCTAATGTGCTGGAAGCTTGGTCCTCTTGTGGCGACGCTGAATGCTGGAACCCTTAAGAGGTGGCCCAGTGGAAGGTGGCTGGGTCACTCGGGACCTTGCCCTTGGAAGAGAGTGATACCGGTCTCTGAGTTAGTTCTTTTGAGAGCAAGTAGTTGTAAAACAGCAAGGCTGGCCTCTCCTGCTCTCTGGCCTCTGGTCTCACCACGGGACCTCTCTGCACTTGTTCCCACCATTGTGGTGCCATTCACCACGGGGCCACACTGGAGCCCAGCAGAAGCCGGAGCCAGGCTCTTGGACCTCCAGAATTGTGAAATAAACCTCTTTCCCTTACAAGTTGCTCAACCTCAGCTAACGGCTTACTGCAGTAGGAAATGAACTAAGTTGATACTGGGTAGGAACAGCAGCTCATCTATGTGTGTCCATTATCTTTCTAAGTCAGACTCTTCGGGGGCTTCCCAGATGCTACTGGACAGTACGGGAGCCCTTAACTTCAAGGTCCTGCAAACTAGATTTCCACGTCTGTCTTCTCCTAGAGGGACCACGACTGCTGTGCCCTCTCCTGACCTTGGAGACAGAGGAAGTCTGGGTATTGCGGAGGAGGATACACTTGCAGGCCTGCAGCCCTGAGGAGATCTGGCCCACACTAGAGACATCATCCTCCCATTCGATGCAGAGAACAAGAAGTCTTAGGGACACAGTGACCTTCTGCTCCCCCAGGGACGAACCTGGCCATGCCGAGGGTACAGAGCCTCCCCAACTGGCCTTTTGCAGAGTCTGTTTGGTACCAGGCTGCCGTTTCTAGAAAAACTTGCCACGGAAAACCCGAGCACCACCATCTCTGCCCAGTGTCTCTGTCCTTTCTGACTGGCCACATCCAACACAGCTGCCTGAGGTCCCAGCACACCTGCTACCTTGCAGCCTGTGCCCAGTGGCCACACTGAAACCACACCTGGCCTGCAGTCACTGTCACAGAGACCCTTAAGCCCTCATTGACCCTCACCTACTTCTTGTGGCCTCTCTTTGGACGTTGCCCATCCTTTCCTCTTGCCAGGGACGGCTGCTCACCACAGACCCTCCTCCCTTCTGCCCCATCCCCTTCATCCCTTCCGCCCAGGCTCACAGCATACAACAAACAGTTTGCAGACTGTCCTGTTGACTCCTCAGCCCCTAGTGATTTTTTATTTTGAGACAGTCTCTTTTTAAGTCACTAAGGTGCCCAGGCTGGTCTTGAACTTCCCACCCACCTGCCAGAGTGCTGGGATTACAGGCATGTGCCTCCGTGCCTGGCTCCTGTGGATTCTTCCTTCAGTTCACCTTCAGACTCTGGCCATGAGAAAATGTCTTAGCTTTAAAGATACACACAGCCCATGGCTTACTCTGGTTCAACTTAACAGTTTTGCAGTTTACGTTGGTATAAAATCGTGCCTATACATCCATTCTGTTTTTCACGTTCGGTACAAAATCAATAAATGACATGAGACAGTCAACACTTCACTATAAAATAGGCTTTGTACTAGACACTTTTGCCCAACGGGAGGCTGATGTAAGCGTTCAGTTATAGCAGCAGCTCCACTGCTGTGCCCGCACCCCATCTGCTCTCCGCATGGGGCTGGGGACATTAGGAGCTCAGGGCTGACAGATGGTTCCATCAAGAACCTGATTGGGAAGGCAACCCAGGGCACTGGCTCCCGGCCTGGCCGCTGACTCAGAAAGTGCCTTCTTTCCTGCCTCAATTTCCCCACCTGACAAACAGGCAAGTTCAGTATCCTCACCACCCTCAGCACCCGCAGGCTGAGGAAGAGGCTAGGTATGTTTTTGTTTTTCCTTGGGGAAATCTTCCCTTCAAAATGCACTGCTTTATGATATACACTTATGCAAACAATTGCAGTCATCAGCGACTGCTTTAATTATGATAATTGAGGAGAAGGAGAGAGAGAATGGATAATGAACGAAGGGCCTGCTTATTTCCCAAGTCCCCCCGCCCCAAAGACTTCAGTTGCCTCCTGGAGCCAGGACCCAAGTCCAGAACCACAAGGGCACCCAAGTCAGAAGAGACAAAAGGATCAGTGGCAGTTACTAATGGGCCGGTAGGTGGAGTCTACCAAGCCCGGCAAGGGCTATTTCCATCCTGCGGTGACGGTGACGGGGCTAAAGTTAGACCTTGATCGCTGGGGAGTCATTCTAACAGCTGGAACGGGAGCGGGAGGGGGGCCACGTGGGCACAGCCTGCAGTCAGGGCAGAGAGAGCAGGCAGTGGGCCTCCAGAGGACTCTCCTGATCCACCACCTGCTTCCCCTGGATGAGGTGCCAGGGCACCCACAGCCCATTGCTCACTGCAGCCCCAGTCTTCATCTCTGAGTCACCCTTTGATGAAGTCCCATCTGCACCCCGTTATTAGCTGGGTCGTGCCTCCAATGACTATTCACTCTTGTTCCCCAGCTCTGAGACGGCAGAGAAGGAAAGGTAAAGACTGAGGGGCTGCCTCAGCCCTGACTCAAACTTGAGTGCCCTGACCCGAGCAGAGACACCCCTCAACCCCTGTGCCTCTCACCTGCACTCCCTTAGCCAGCACTCAACCTCCAAGCCTGGGTGGGCTTGGGGGTCCCGAGGGCCACTAAGCCAGACTGCCCACCCAAGCTCCCAATGGCGGTAGGGGAGGGGGCTGCCATGGAAAGTCACAAACTTCTATTCTCCTGTTAAACACAAAGAACACAAAGCTAATGCATAAATGAGCAAAGGAGAATAAAAAATCGCCCATTATTCTTGGATGTGATTGCTGCTTTAGGCCACCAGTGCTGGTACTGTCCTGTAATCTCCTTATTCAGGCATTTCGATACCTTTCAGGTCCAAAGAGACATTTTTACATCCTTCAGTGGCATCCCCTACCCATTCAGCAATATCTCCCCATGCCCTGCCTGGCTACAGGCAACATCCTGGTTACTGGGCATAGAGCCATTTACAAAACAGGCCTGTGGAGACACATCCTCGGCATATGCCCTGGTACTCCCAGCTAGGGACTGGAAGGGCAGGGCTGGAGTAGAGGGCACACCTCCCTTTGGGGTTCGCTCTCCCGAGAGTGCACCTGTCAGGGTTGCTCCACACTGGATCGGCATGCACCACCAGGGGGACACAGCAGGGCCCAGCAGAAGCAGAGGGGGGGAGCCTGCTCCTAGGACACTTTGAGCCAGATCTTCACTAGAGGGCGTCATTTTCTGGGCAGCAGGGGCTGAGTGTGGGACATACTGTTTGAAATCGGGCCACCCCAACACTCCAGAGGTGCCGAGGTGCAGAGGCACTTCCTGGGCCCAACCCAGGAAGGCAGCCGGGCCCAGGGTCTGGGGGAGGGGACAGGGAGCCCCAGCTTCCACACTGACTGTCAAGGGCGTCTGGCTCAGGCCCAGCCCCCTACCCCAGGTCCCCGCCCCTGCCCTTCCTACGCTCCTGTGCCCAGGTAGCTCCGGAGCCCAAACCTGTCGGGCCGGTTTTGAGAGAGGCAGGGACAGAGGGAGGAAGGCTGCGAAGGATGCACGGCCTGCCCCGGGCTCGCCCGCTCCCTCCACCGACTGCACCCGTCCTGCCCACCCGCCCGACCCCATGAGGCGCGCACCCGGCCTCCTGGCGCCCCTGCTGGGCCTGGGCCTGGGACTGAGCCTGAGGCTGCCGGGGGTGCTGGCCAGCGACTGCGGGTCCCTCGGGCAGGCGCAGCGCCTGTCGTTCGCTCCGGCGGCCAGGACGCGGTGGCTGGCGCCTCTCGTGCGCCCGCCGGGACCCCTGGACCCGCTCTATGGCGCTGTGCGCCGCTTCCTCGCCCTGGTGCAGCTCAACCCTTTTCCTTCGGGTGAGTGTGCCCCTCCCCCAGCGGGCCTGGGCTGGCGGTGGGTGCCCTGTCCTGTCCCCGTCCCGTCCATAGGCACTCGGAGGGCAGGCACCCCAGCATCCCCACCGCCTTCTTCCTTCCCAAAGTCCCGCGACAGCGGGTGCAGCGGCGCCTGGAGAGGGCCTCAGAACCTTCTGTGTGACCTTGACCAAGTCCCCCTTGGCCTGGCAGAGAGGAGGGGTGGACCCAGCAGGGGTGGACACAGGCGGGGGGTGGTGGCTGTCCCCTCACCTCAGCCCTGCTCTTTCCTGTAGAGTTGGTAAAAGCCCTGCTGAATGAGCCGGCCTCGGTGAGGGTGGACGAGGTGAGAATGGAGTCGGGGTGCGAGTGGGGGTGACAGGGGGCTCCCACACCCCTCAGCTCCACCCTCCTTGCTGGGGTTTGCAGGGTGGGAATGGTGGGCGTCCTTTCTCCTCCCTCTTGGACCCAAACCACCTCTCTGCAGCCTGTGAACAGTGGGCTTCCCAGGGGCCCAAATCCCCCTGAATTTCAGTTTTCTCTCCCGTAAGATGGTAATTAGCAAGGACACGGTGCACCTCTCTTGTGGGTCACCAAGATTCAGAGCAGGGCCCTCCGTGTTTGCCCTCGTCCCCTTCTGATCTCCAGACTCAGGGCCAGCACAGGTGGCCTGGGGGGTCACAGCCGCCCCTCACGCCCTGCTCCCCACCAGGTGGTGCGGTATGAGGCTGGCTACGTGGTGTGCGCTGTGATTGCCGGCCTCTACCTCCTGGCGGTGCCCATCACCGGGTTGTGCTTCTGCTGTTGTCGCTGCCACCGACGCTGCGGAGGCCGAGTGAAGACGGAACACAAGGCCATGGCCTGCGAGCGGGGCACCCTCATGGCCTTCCTGTTGCTGACCACCCTTGTGCTGCTGTAAGGGGCTGCGCGGGCCAGGCGGGAGGGCTGGGCACTGCTGGCTGGGGGACCCCCGGGAGCCCTGCAAGCTGCTTCCTTCTCTCCTCACTCATGGCAGGATTGGTGTGGTCTGCGCTTTTGTCACCAACCAGCACACGCACGAGCAGACAGGCCCCAGTGTGGGAGCTGTGCCTGAGACCCTGCTCAGCCTCCGGGGCCTGGTGTCTGATGTCCCCCAGGTGAGCACTGAACCTCCGTCCTGTCCCCACACGCCTCCTGAGCGCCAGGCCCCAGCAGGACAGAGCTGAGCTGTGCCTCTGGGGCCTGCAGCCTACATCGCTGCAGTATACATCGCTGCCCTGGCTAGAAGGCCTCTGAATGGGGTATTGGGACCTGTGCTGTCTTCAAGCCGGAAGGGGCAGGGGACACGGGTCAGGGATGGGTAGCTCACACCTCTATGTTTGCCTAGGAGCTGCAGGCCGTGGCAGAGCAGTTCTCACTGCCCCAGAAGCAAGTTTTGGAGGAGCTGGATGGTGAGGGTTACAGCTGGCCAGCCCTACGGTCCCGGCTCAGGCCTGCAGGGAGGACCCCTCATTCCTTTGTCTTGATCCCATCTGGGAAACCTTCACAGAGGGGGAACAAGGCACAGCAGGTGCTCTGCTGCAGATTAAAGGCCAGAGCCCACCCTGCCGAGTCCCAGGCTAGGACCTAGGGAGCAGGACTGGCAGGGGCAGCGGGGCGGTGTCCTCCATCCCTGGGGCCAGCCCTGCAATTTGTCTCATGCACTCCAGGGGTCGGTGAGAACCTCGGGACCATCGTGCATAGCCAGCTCGGGAGCATAATCTACCCAGTGCTGGCTTCTGTGAACAGCCTGGGCCGGGGTGAGTTGGACCAGTGCCTGTGTGGGTGGGGCCCAGCAGGTGTCTCCCTGCAGGCCCACCCTCCCCAGCCCTGGATTTCGTGTGCTCTGCTGGTGTTAGCTCCACCCAAATTTCCCATCCCTTTATGCCAGGGTCCTGAGCCTCAGGCATCCCTGCCCACTTCCTGGCTCAGCAAGCCACAGGCAGTTTCCATTGTGATTCTAGAGGGTGATGACTGCAGGTCCCTGTGGCATGAGGGGGTGCCCACCTGTTGTGAGGCTGCCAGGAGGATTCTGGGAGCCGTAGAGGCTACTCAGGCCATTTGTGGGTTTCTCAGCCCTGCAGGTCGCCATGGACCACCTCCACGCCCTGAACACCACCTTGGTGGAGCTGCGGGCGGGACAGCAGCGCCTTGAGCCAGCCGTGCGGCAGCACAGGGATCGCCTGCTTGCCCTGCTGCAGGAGCCCGGGTGCCAGGGGGATTGTGAGGGGACCCTGAACCGGGCCCGCTCCCTGGAGCTGGCTGCCAACTTTGTCCAGGTGTGGGCCCAGGACAGAGGCCACCTGGGGCTCTGGCAGGCCGCTCCACCTGCAGCCCAGTGGTCCCCTTCCTCGGGCTGTCCCTTAAAGGTCTAGTGAGCTCTCCTAGCCCCACGCACAGCACCTTGAGCTACATGTGCGTTAGCTCCTGAGTCCTCACCACCTTCCAGGGTGGTATGGATTGCCGTGGCCCCCGTTTTACACATGGCGCCACTGAGGATTCAGAGGCATCTGCCCCTTTCCTCCCACAGGGACCCTCTCAGGCCCCTCCGCGAACTTTGCCCCCTCCCATTTCAGGTCCCCTCCCTGGACCATGTCCTGTACCGGCTGAAGGGAGTCCCAGAGGCCAATTTCTCCAGCATGGTCCAGGAGGTGAGTGCCCTCTGCCCTTCCTCCTGGCTCCTAGGAACTCACGAAGGAGGGGACCTCAGTTTTCCCCTGAGTTGAGCCTTTGATTTGAGACCGTACCTGTCACCTGGCACCCCAGGCTGCAGGCTCCTGACACCTACCTGGCGAGCAGTGGGCATCTGAAGGGGAGGCAGGGAGGCGCTCAAAAGGAGGCACTAGGACCCCTGGAGCTGTGAGCAGCCAGGAAATACCTCCCTACAGAGCCCCCAGGGCCAGCAGCTCTGGGCTGGAGTGAGGGAGGGCGGTCTGTGAGTCAGCGCCTCTGACCCAGGGCCTGGAGCTGGGGAAATGGTGAGTCAGCCACGCTGGGTGGCTGGAGCAGGTTCCGGGAGGAGGCATGTGGGAGCTGAGGTGGAATGGCGGGCTGGAGCTTTGCTTCCGGAAGTGACTGGTGGGGCCTGCAGGGTGCAGGGGAGAGGGGAGAGGGCGGTCTGGGAAGGGGCTGTGGGTGGAGACAGGAGGCTGTGGGAGCCAAGCTTGTCTGAGGAAAGGAAAGCCAAGGCCACGGGATGGGGCTTGAGGCTCTAATGTTAAGTGAAATAAATCAGACACAGAAGGTCAAATAGTGCGTGGTTTCTCTGATACAACAAACCCAAAATATAAACAATTGAAAGAGCCAAATAAAAAAGAGACAGAAGGAAATGGGGGCTTCGTGGCGATGGGAAGGGGTCCTGAGAAGGAGGGAGATGAGAGGACAGAGAAGGACAGGGATCCAAATGATTAAGCACACATATATAACAAATGTAATTACCATGTATCATACGCGTGTATGAATAAAATTTAGTATCACTGGGGCCCTGGGGCGTGACCCCTCCCTCTGGGCCTTAGAGTCTCCACCCTGGGGCACCGGCCCAGAGCAAGAGGCCAAGCTGCCCTTCATCCTGCAGGAGAATAGCACCTTCCACAGCCTCCCGTTCCTGGTTGCCATGCAGACAGCCAGCATGGTCCAAGGTGAGCGCGGTCAGAGGCAAGCCCGGGCCCGTGGGACCAGGGGCCACCCGCCATGCCACCCTGGGAAGGCTGTCCTCCTAGGTGGCCCCCAAGTCCTCTAAGCCTCTGTGCTTTGGACAGATGTGAAAAAGGCCGTGGCCCAGCAGCCTGAAGGCCTGAGGACACTGGCCAGCAGCTTCCCGGGCTCCGAGGCAGCTTCCCACTGGAGCCAGGCGCTGGAGAAGCTGGAAGAACGCAGCCGCCCCTACCTGCAGGACGTGCAGCGATATGAGACATACAGGTGCCAGGAGGGAGCCGAGGGGTCCGGTGGGGCAGAGCCTTCTGCTAAGCCAAGACCCCTGGCTCCTCCAGCCTCTGTGTCCCACCAGTCTGTGCCCCTGGGACCTGAGGCCTTAGGAAGCGTCCCCACCCGCCCTGCTCCAGCCCCGCCCTCCCTGCAGGTGGATCGTGGGCTGCGTGCTGTGCTCCATAGCCCTCCTTGTGGTGGTCTGCAACCTGCTGGGCCTCTGCCTGGGTATCCTGGGACTGTCGGCCAGGGAGGACCCCAGCCACTGGGACGCCAAAGGCGAGGCCGGAGCCCGCTTCCTCATGGTGTAAGAAGGGGTGGGGGAGGGGAAGGGTCCCTCTTGCTGCCGCAGACAGCAGCAGAGCCCTGGGGGAAAGGAGGCCGAGCTTCAGGGCCAGCCTGACTCCTACACCCTGGGTGACGCTGGGCAAATCCCTAACGCCCCTGGCCTCAGTTTCCTCAGCTGTACGAGGGCGTTGGACTAGAGCAGGAATGGCAAACAGCCACTCCCCCCGTCCGACCATGCACACACCCGTGAACACTGTAGTACCAAATGGGCACACTCTCCCACCAAGTCCAACACAGCCTCAGGATCCTCCTTAGTCCTGCTTCCAGACAGCATCAGCAACGCCAGGAGCCAGCAGCAAATAGAATCTGCCGCCATCCCCAGACTAGATGGTCTCTAAGGCCAGGGTTGCCTCATACACTTGTGCAGGTTGTCCGCTATACAAGGGTCTGTGGCCAGAGGGGCAAGGGGGGGCTGAAATGCACCCCCATGGTGTCACCCTGTGATCCTCGTAGCCTGGCACAGGGCTATGTCCATCTTACAGGGGAGCTCTACAAGTCTGTGGCACCCAGGCTAAAGGTCCTTGCAGCTCAGCCCTGTTGGGTGCTGCCCTGCCTGTGGGTCATGCCCGGTTATGGCTGGTAATCTTTGGAAGGTCACCTCCATGGGCACTAGGGCCAGCAGCAGGTAGTCCTGGCTCTCCAAATAGAACAGCTGGCCTCTCCTCTAGGCTACAGGGACCCAGCAGTGGGTAAGGATGAGGAAGGGACAGTTAGGGGTTCGGAGTCCCCTTCCTCCTGCGAGGCCCAGTTCTCTGAGCTCCTCTTCCTGGAAGGTGCTGCCCTCAAGCTCAGCCTCAGGGCTCCCCGGGCCAGCTCCGGGGTGCGCATGCGGACAGAGCTCACCCCGGTGCAGCCGGTCTCCCCCACCTCACCCCGTCTCTTCCCCCAGGGGTGTGGGCTTCAGCTTTGTCTTTGCCGCTCCCCTCATCCTCCTGGTCTTTGCCACCTTCCTGGTGGGCGGCAACGTGCAGACGCTGGTGTGCCGGAGCTGGGAGAGCGGGGAGCTCTACGAGGTGGGGATGTCCCTAAGGTCGCCTGTCCTTCTAGATCCTGTGGGGAGGTGCAGGGAACTGTGGGCAGAGCAGAGGGATGTGGGGGAGGGGAGGCAGAGGGGACAAGTGGGAGAGGGGGGCAGGAGGGAGGCAGAGCCACTAGAGAGAGAAGCTGTGAGCCCTGGGTGCTGCCCAAGCCTTGGACAGGGCCCCGAGTGGTCTCTCCCGTACCCTTTGCTCTCCAATCCCTGAGTCTGGGGACCAGGAGCCGTGATGCCCCATGTGGTGGCTGAGCTCTGATATTGAAATGGCTTCTCCCAGGGGTCATGCCGGCTGCCTTCCTAGGGACACGTGGGCACTGGCCCCATGAGGAGGTCAGGCTGGGGCAGTTTGAGTTACAGGCTGGGTCTGATGCCAGGACAGGACTGGGCCTTGGGGAAGCTGGGGCAGCCTCATCCCCACCCTGCTTCATAGCCCATGGCTCCTTCCCCATCTCCAGTTCGCAGACACCCCTGGGAACCTGCCGCCCTCCATGAACCTGTCTCACCTCCTCGGTCTGAAGAAGAATGTCAGCCTCCTCCTGGCCTACCAGTGAGTGGGCAGCCTGGGCAGAGGCGGGGCGGCCTGGGGGGACAGAAGTGGGCATCCCATGGGGGTGACATCAGTCACCCCCGGCCACCCTGTGTTCCTCCCTCCTCTCCAGGCAGTGTAAGGAAGGGGCTGCTCTCTGGAAGGTTCTACAGCTCAACGACTCCTACAACCTGGACGAGCATCTGGACATCAGCCAGGTAGGAGAGCACTCTGGAAGCCGGGAGGCCCCTCCTGTAGAGCTCGTCTCTGCTCTGGAAATGATGGGGGTGCCTCAGGGGAGAGCCCAGGGCTACAGCAGGAAGGTCCTGGAGGTAAGGACCTAGAGGCCATGGCTCTGTGCTCCAGGGACAGCTACACAGCTGAAGTGCAAGAAGGAGAGTGACAGTGAGTAAGTGGCTGAGGGCCTGGGTCTTTCCTGAGGACAGGCCCTGACTGGCATGCTCCAGTTGGGACAGGCTGGGGAGACAGATGTTGGAGCTCACTGGGGGCCTCCCCCAGCTCTTATAGCCTGGAGGTGGCAGTGGTGGTGGGATCCCACCCTTCAGCATGACCCCAGAACTCTGCCTGTGCCCACTCGGACTTCAGGTGTTCACCTGCAGGGCAGATTGGAGAATGGAGTTTGGACCTCAGTGCAGAGAAGATTCTAGAACAAGGAAGGCTACCTCACAGGAGGGATGTGCTTTGAGAATGTGCTTCTGAAAGTCCACAGAGGCTGCCAAACATCCCCTCCTCTCCTCATTCCACACCTCTGTGAGGTGGGAGCCATTTCCACTCATATAGGGGCCACCAGCTGCTTCTGCTCCATCCTGAGAAACCCTCCCAGCTCCTCTTGGAGCTGCCACACTTTTGCCCCGCAGGGGAGCACTGCCAGGTGCCCAGCCCCAACACCATGCCTTAATCTGCACCAGGAACAGCTAATGCCTCGCTCCCTGTTCTTCCAGCTTCCTCCAGCTCCTCCAGCTTGCTTAGCCTGTCAGGAAGCTGCTGGAGCAGGCAGTGTTCTGATGCCACAGCCTCGTGGTTGAAGGCTGGCTAGGAAAGGCTGCGCAGGGTCCCGGGCACAGCAGACTTCAGGCCCTGTCACCCGGAAGTCATAGCTCTCAGGCAACGGGGTCCAGCTCTCAGAAAAAAAAATGAACAGATAAGGCGCCAGCTTCAGAAGGGCTGGATGGTCCTCAGAGGCCATTTGGTGACTTTCCAAATGTGACCTTAAGAATACCTGTCCCCATGCAAGTAGTGGTGGCACATGCCTGTAATCCCAGCACGTGAGAGGCTGAGGCAGGAGGATCGTTGCAAGTTTGAGACCAGCCTGGGCTACAAAGTGAGCTCAAGTCCTGCTTGAACTGCATAGAGAGACTCTGTCTCAAAAAGGCACACAAAAATAAAAAACCTGTCCACAAAGGAGATAGCAACAAACCAGTTGGGCACCCTTCAGTAAGTGTGGTGTTTTACCAGCCACTAGGAGGCACTGCCCCCTGCACACATCTGCCATACCTGGCACTCAGGCCTGAAATGCTGCTCTAAGACTCTGCTTGTGATAGGGTGAGGGCATTTCTCCCGCAGGGAAGGCAGCATGGTGGGTGGGGAGAGGCCAGCTGCATCCTCTTACTTGCTGTGCATCCTCTGGCAAGTGGATGCTCCTCTCTTAGTTCCTCATCTATGAAACACCGAGACTGAATGTCACGGCCCCTAAATGGCTTGCAGCAATGGTAGGAGAATGCCAGAGGTCTTTCCTGGAAATACGATCCCATCTGGTCGCTCATTCATTCATGCATATGGTCTACAAACTTGTACCATCCCGTGAGCCTCCTCTGAGTGCTGAGGTTAGGGCAGAACGGGCAGGCAAGGTTGCATTATCACGGTGCTGATGGTGATTAACGAGTGCACAAAGAAGCAGATTGAGGTTGGAACAGAGGACTCCAGGGCGCTGACTATGAAGGCATCAGGACCTTCCTACAAGGTTGTGATAAGGAGGAGCCAGGTGACCTATTTTATATCAGGTGGCCAGGGAAGATCCATGTGGCAGCCCACTAGCCAGACAGGTGCTGGAGGAAGACTGGTCTTCGGGTGGTGACTTTAGGAGCAGAAACCTGCTGGGAACCTCCCAGGGTGCGATGTGTCCAGGGTAGGGAGCCCAGAGGACCCCTCACCTGGGGGAGTGTCTCTGGGCTTCGGATCAACAACTGGGCATGTCCTACCCATTTCCCCACCCTCCAGTATGCCAAGAAGCTGCAATGGGACCTGCAGAACTTCAAAGTGGACATAAAGGACCTGGACCTGCTCAGCCCAGAGGCCCACCAGGACCTGGAGGCACTGCAGAAGAGTGGGGTGGAGAGCGTCAGCTACCACGACTTCCTTGTTCAGGTCAGCAGAGGGACCCTGGGTACCCAAGCAGGGCGAGGACAGCACGGAGGAGCCACAGAGGACCCAGGCATGGGCCTTGCCTTCTCCTAGCACTTGACCTTCTCTCCTGAGACCTCTTCCTGTTGGAGGTGTCCCCAGACCACAACCCCGCTGACCTCTGCCCCCACCCAACAGCCAGTGTCGCTGTTCGTGGTCCTGAACCCACTGCTGCCGGGAATGCTGGTGGGAAGCGCCTCTTCCTCGCTTCACACCAGAGGGCGCCTGTCCTTTGATTGGTTTTTGGGAACATGTCTAAAATGTTTTGCAGCTCCAGGTCAAATCCACTGTGACTGATGTGGCACAGCAGACTTAGCTGGTGCAGGGTGTGTCTGGCAAGAGTGGGAATTCAGGGGCCACAGGGGCACAAGGTGCAACCCTGCTGACCTTGCCCATCCACCCTCAGATCCAGAAGCCCGTGGTGAAGACTGACGTGGAGCAGCTGGCCCAGGAGCTGGCAGGACTGGCCCAGGCTCAGGTGAGAAGGAGCAAGGATCCCACAGGGCAGGCAGCAGTCAGATGGAGGGGGGCAGGTGGGATGGGAGGGCAGAGGCAGGGACCAGAGCCCCCGAACCTCCACTGTGCTGAAGGGTTTTGCCACACCAGTTCTGATTCAAGACCTACCATCAGCTGGCTGGGCTGCCTTGCGTGTGTTCCTGAGTATCTCTGGGCCTCTGTTTTGTCATCTGTAAAGTAGACTCTCCTCATCTCAGATCAGCTCGAGGGACTGGTCTGATATCACACACATGGGCAAGCAGTGCCATGTGCATACCAGGTGTGGAATCTGCACGTCATGATGGATCAGACATGACAGCTGTCCCACAGGGGAAGAAACTGCATTTCACATTTACAAATACCTAGTTTGGAAAGTTGAGGCATCCCAGAGACCCTAGCCTTGTCCTTCCTCAGCTTCAGCAGATGCCACTGTGGCTCCCTTTGGCATCTGTGGCTGACTGAGAGGGCAGAGCTAGAAATGGGGCTTGGGTTGAAGCTTATGGAGGCTTCAATTTTCTGCCTCTGAGCCTAGCACTTTCCACTTTCTCTCAGTATGTGCAACCAAAAGGCCAGGTCAAGGTTCCCCTGGAAAAGTCCAACCTGTCAGGATGGGGCCATTCTGATCTCTGTCTGCCCTCAGGGCAATTCTGCGTTGGGGCGACAGCTGCAGGAGGAGGCCCGAGGGCTCAGAAACCTCTCCCAGGAGCAGGTCATCCCCCAGCAGAACCTGGTGGTAAGTTTGGGTGCTCAGGGAGCCTGCAGCTTGGGAGAGAGGACAAAGAAGGAGGGAGGTGCTCCACTCTCTCGCTCTCCATCCCTCCCCCTAACTAGCCTGAATCTCTCCTCATAGGTCAAGCTCAACCGCAGCGTCCGGGCCCTGGAGTCCTCTGCTCCAAACCTCCAGGTGGCTACTGAGTTGGGGACAGTGGGGTGGAACAGGTGGGCGGCAGAGGGAGAAAGGAAGTGGGGACCCAGCTAGCTATGGACCTCGTAGGCTCTGCCCCATCTCACTAGAGACTGAGGGTGGGGATGGGGAGGAGGTGGGGCTGGGTGGGCAGATCCTTGAGGACCATGGATCACTGGCTCTGGGTGTGTGTCATATGCTTCATGGATGGATGAATTGATGGATGATGGATGCATGGATGCATGGGTGAATGGATGCATGGATGGATGGATGATGGATGCATGGATGCATGGATGCATGGATGCATGGATGGATGACGGTTAGATGGATGGGTAGAGGATGGATGCTGGATGATGGATGGGTGGACGGTGGATAAATGAATGACTGCTTCCTGAGCAGGACACTGAGCTAGGACTCTTATCTCCTGCAGCGGGACACCTCAGCTGTCCTAGGCAATGTCACCTACCTAAAAGCAGAGCTTCCAGCATTGACCAACCACATTCTCCAGAAAGTGAGTTGGGTGGGGAGGCAGGGAGTGCTATAGAACCAGAGGGACATGGGGCCTCTGCCACAGGCCTCTCCAGCCATTCCCTTACAGTGAGTCCCAAAAGCTAGCCTGATACTCTGGTTTCTCTTCAGATCCTATACATGTTTCGCCTTTTACCAAAAGCCAGCCTGGCCAATGGTGTCAGGCATGGGGAGTGGAGGGGGCTTCTGGAATCCCTGCCAGCTCCAGTCTCCCTCTCCTGCAGGCAAGCGAGTGTTTCCTGACCCGGGAGATGGGTTACTTCTCCCAGTACGTGGCCTGGGTGAAAGAGGAGGTGAGTAGGGGCTCGGACCCTGCCTGGCCTCAGGGCAACTATGGATTACTCACTTCCTGGACCAGCTGGTCTCCCAGCTCTGCCCCATCCTGTCCCCTGGGGTCCTTCAGGGGTGCTCAGGCCTTCAGGATTAAACTCAAACTCCCATACCTGGCATCTGTGCCCCATCCCTGTCCAGCCGCTCCCTAAGGCTCTAGTGTGAGCTGGCTTGGCCGTGGCTTTCTGGAACATGCCATCCTTAGTTTGTCCCCACTCTTCTGTGGGTTGAACTCCTGCCCAGCTTGTCCTCTCCTGAGGACCGCAGCTGACTACAACTCTGCAAGCTGACTGGGACCCCCCTAGGCTCACAGGGCGTCTGGCTGAGCCCTGAGAGTGTCTGTGAGTGTGCAAAGTGCCTGAGGACATGCATGTGTGCACACATACGTGTTGCCTGTCCGGTGCATGGGATACACAGTAGAGCCCTAATTCAGGTGGCGAATAGATGTGGGGGGCAGGAACAGATAAGGAGCCCAGGTGTGTTCCATTCCCCATGTGCCTATATCCATGTGTCTCCTTATGTGCCTGTCCAAGTGTGCAGTGGCCCCTAGCTGTGTCCCTGTCAGCCTCTCCCTCTGAACCTGGGGTGCACACCTATGGTCGGTGTCCCCACACACACCTGCCTCCTGTTGGCACCACAGGTGACTCAGCACATCGCCACCTGCCAGCCCTTCTCCGGAGCCCTGGACAATGGCCATGTGATCCTGTGTGACATGATGGCTGACCCCTGGGTGAGTGTCCTTTCCTCTGATGACCGCTTCTCCTTCCTACACTGAGTCTGAGGGGGAAGCTGCAGGCACAGGGCAGGCTGGGAAGGGAACTGTCTGGCCAGGTGTGCTGACCTCATGCTCCTTCCAGAACACCTTCTGGTTTTGCCTGGGCTGGTGCACCTTCTTCCTCATCCCCAGCATCATCTTTGCTGTCAAGACCGCCAAGTACTTCCGCCCTATCCGGAAACGCCTCAGGTGAGGGGCTGCTAGCACCAGGGGGGACATCAGAAGCCCAGGAAGGAGTCTGTACAACCACCAGGCCCAGGTCCCCTCCATACCCTGTCCTGAAACTTCCCCAGCAGAGAAGACTCCCGGCTGAGCCCTGGAGAGGCACATTCCCTGACCTGGAAGTTGTCCCATATGTCTGCTCTGTCCCCTTGCTGTAACACATCCGCCCAGAGACAGTTTGCCGTACTCCTCCCCTGGGTTTGTCCCCGGGGCGGGCGGAGGTCTGTGGTGGGGACTCACCTTTATTCTGTGATGCTCCAGCTCCACCAGCTCTGAGGAGACTCAGCTCTTCCACATCCCCCGGGTCACCTCCCTGAAGCTGTAGGGCCCATGGGTGAGTCTACCCCCTACCCACAATGCCTCAGGGCTGGGGACTGAGGCAGTGAAGAGGGAGAGGCTGGGATCTGGGGTCTCCAGGAGACAAGAAGGATCTGAGTGTGGCCCATCTAGCAGCGGGACTGAGAGGCTGAGCCCTGCGTCCCCCACTTGTTTCCTTTTTAACTCACAGCAAGGCGAGGTGATACCTGGAGCCACCTGGAGCCTCCACTCAGCTGGGACCGGAGGATTTCTGAAGCCTTGTCGCAGTGCCCAAGCTGGGCTCCCCGTGCAGACTGTTCCCCTGTCCAGCTGATCCCCCGAGCCTACTCCCTTTCCGCCCTGTCTGCTCATAACCCCCTGCATTTGTTCTCACTTTGGCTGAGCTGCAGGACAAGTTTCCCCAGGTGTCCCGCCCTTGTCCTCCTTGCCGCCCAGTACCAGCGCCAAGAAGGGTCTGTTCTCTGCCTGCTGGGACCCCTTCTCCAACCTCATGCCTGCCCAACCCAGCCCTGCCCCGTCAGCCCTCCCTCCGCTCCCCTCTAAGCCCTCTGCTCCTTGTTCCCATCTGGCCTTCTACCTGCCTCAACTTCCCTCCTAGCCTCTCCCCAGCCCTTTCCTTCCTCCTTCCAAGGAAGCTCTTCTTCCCTGTCCTCTCTGTACCTCCTCCCACTGCCTTGCTGGTCCTCCAGGGACCCCGCTTGCCCAGTCAGCTCATCAGATAAACCCGCCAAGCAGGCGTGGTCCTGGACTGGGCTAGATTCGGTCTCTGCCTCATAGCCCCAAGTCGTCCACTGCCCTAGCTCTTTGGACTCTCCGTGGGCCCCTTCCTGGACTTACTGGCCCCTAGTGGGGTGGGAGACTGTCTGAGGGCTGAGCCACCTGCCTGCACCCCAAGTTACAAATAGTGCTGTCCCCAGGTCCTCTCTGAGCACTAGTTCTTAAGGAGGGACTGGAACCTGGGCTCTATTGGGGCCACACCCTAGGCTCCCCAGAAGGTAGAACCTCCTCACTTTCCTAAGCTTTGTTTTGGAGTCCTTGAAGCCAGTTCTCCCAGACTAGGACTCTGTACATAGTTGGTGTTGAATGCATGTTTGTGCAGGCATCCAGGAGTTCCCCCGGCAACCTGCAAGTGGGGATCAGCACCTGGCTGGGAGGTTGCTGACAGGATCAGGCAAACCTGGTTTCACAGCCTGCCTCTGATGCTGCTTGCTGGGTGCCTTGAACATGTTACCCAGGTTCCCTAAACGCAGCCTCTCCTTTCATAAGATGGAAGAATCAGAACCTCGGTGTCGGACTGTGAAAATGAAATATAACAAGTAAGAGGCCCTTGGCAGGGAGCAAAGGTGCAACGAGTAAATGGCAGCTGCTATTTTGTGCCATGACTGCACTGGCCAAGGCGGAGCCAGGGTCTGGGCCAGTGCAAGGGAAAGAGGAGGCGGCCCTGGTCCCACGGCCACAGCCCTTGAAGATGGTGGTCTGCTGAATGTTGGAGGGGATCTCATTGCATTTTATAAACCAGCAACACAGCTGCTGCTGGAAGTTAGGGTGGTGTGGATAGGACATGTCCTCACTGTGACAAGCTCATGCTCATACAGGCACCCCTGAAGGTCACACAGGGGCCTCTCTTTGGTTTTGCCCAGAGGTTGGTGGGTGGTATGGTTTTGCTTGTTGCTCAGATGTCAGCTTGAGCAGAAGCGGTAGCACTGTGTATACTAAAATGCAATTGATGAGATCACAACAAATGAAATAGAAATAATTTTAAACTATGTTCAGTTCTGTCTGAATTGCCTATCGTTTTTTATGCTAAGCATAGTATTTTATCTTGTCTTACTATTTTATTGTGGTGCAGAGTACTGGAAGCAGGCCTTCATGCACGCTAGGCAAGCGCCGTGCTGCAAACCTACATACCCCGAAGTGTAGTTATTCTAAAGTTCAGTAATTCCCTTTGAGCCCCCATGAGTCTGTATCTAGCCCCTGTGTCTTAGTCACTTCTCTCGTGGCTGAGACAAAATACCCAATGCCCAAAATGAAGGAAGGAAAGGTTTATTTAGCTTACAGTTTGTGGAGGTTTCAGTCCATACTTGGCTGGCTCCGAGGCAGAAGATAGCAAAGCAACAAGAGCAAAGGGGGGAATGGCAGCCTATCAGCAAACAGCCAGAGCAAAACGGGAGGAATGGCGGCAAGCAGCAATTTTCCCTGCCTTACATTTGTAAACAGGCTACCCCCACCTAAGGGGCATGTAGCTCTCACATAATTTCCATGCCCTCCTCTTCCATAGGCTCAGGATGTATACTGAGTAAGCACCCTGGCTTCCTGCTGAGTCATTTAGCCAAACCTCTAGACCCCCCAAGTTGACACAATGTATCAACCATAACACCCTGTTGTTCCCTTGGTTTGGGGGAGTTTTGTCTTTGTCTCCTCACATCCTTGGTGGTTTTGATTGCATTTGGGAAATGATTGCATCTGAAAGCTTATCGGAACAATCTGAGGGAAGGAAGTTATCTTCCTCCACAAGGACTGTTTACTTCTTGCAGGTGGTTTGGGACCTAGCAAAGCGAGATCAGCTTAACACACATCCAGGAAATGAGCCGGCTTGCAGAGGCTTTGAGGGCCAATCCACTTCCAGTCCATTCACGTTCCCCTGGGACCCAACCCAATGCATGGCAGGTTTGCCAGGCACACCTTCCTCTTGGTCCTGGGGATTAGCCCCAGACGTTGTTAAAAGCTCTGCTGAGTAGAAGCCCCTAGGGAGAAAGTCACCCTAGGTGCCAGGCACATATCCCTGGATGCCCTTCTTTTCCCAGATCTTGGCTCTGTGATTTTTTTTATTGGTTTGTTTGCTCCATGACTATATATAATTTATTTATTCTGATTATTAACTTAAAAAGCTGCTTGAAATGTGTTCTTGTGTATGCATGTGTACTACACACACTCATTTCGAGCAGCTTTTACAGTTATGTTCAGCTAGGAATTTGATCCAAATTACCTAGTCCACTGTAGAGACTGTACCTAGTCCAGGTCCTTGTCACAGTTCAGGACATTTACATTTGTAATCCCATGGAAAGTTATTGGAATTCTAGTGAGATAATTCCAATCTACCACTTCCAGTGCAACCCATGGTAAGAATAAAGATACTAAGGCATATTTGTAGTTATGGGGAGCCACATGGTCCTAAATCCAGCTAGGATGATGGCTATCCAGAACAAAGGCCTTGACCCAGGGCCAAACCTGAGGTTTTATTAATTCATGAAGAAGGGAGTCGCTTGAGGATGAGTGACTATGAGAATGGTGGGAAGTAGGTCAGTGCCATGAGCTGGACTAGGTAGGAGGCCTGAGGTCACCTCTGCAAATGCAGAGAGAAGAATGTTCAGAAAGAGTAATCTGCATAACACAATTGTAGTATGTGATGTTTGGGGTCGGTGCTTCAGCTCTGACGTGTAATCTTCTACGCCCTGGGAAGTCATAGCCTCTTAGCTAGAGGCTCAATCCCAGCTGTCAGTGTGGAGCAGTGTGGAGCAGTGTGGAGCCTTCACCCAAGCTCACACATGTTTTTTTGGGGAGCTATGGGGGCAGGGAAACACTGGCCCATCTTCTTTGCTTTAAAGACTACACATCAGCACCTCGGCTGGACCGAATTACATTGCTTAAAGCCAATTGAAGGGATGAGGAAAAGTCCTAGCCAGCTCTGCATGCATCAATACGTGGAAACAGGGCCGGGTTCAGCCAAAATGGAGATAATTTCTCCTCTTTCAAGGAGAGTCGTCCAGATGGTCCTCCACAGCCCACCATTATCGAAGTAGTCATCATAGAAAGTGACTTTACTGTCCCTCCTGGGAACTGGGAAGTTTACTATCCAGAAACCTTGGCCTGGCACATTGAACACTGGCTTTGCCACGGAGCTTCTTTGGGAGGGCATTGGGGTCAGTGCTGGTCATCCCGACATGAGGGTGACACTCGGCAGTTGACAGACAGAAATAGCTGTAGAGAAAAATAGATTGTCTGTTCCCTGGGGTTTGGAGTACTGGGATCCTCCAATACTAATGCTACTTCACATGGAAGACAGCCCCTTTCACGGTCACAGTCTTGTCTGTCACCACGACAGTCTCTGCAGGAGGTGGTTCTTCATCTGTGGTAGAGCTGATGAAGCTACCGGAAGTGGCCTGGCAGGCTCAAGGTCACCTAAGTTGGATTCAGGTCCCGGGTGCTGGCCTTGAAGGTTTCTTCCTGGCTGAGCCGCCAATCTCCATTCCCCGTGGGCAGGTGGGAGGGGGCCCTGTCTCCAGAGAGACTTGGCCAGATGTCCTTGATGTCCCTGTGGCAGGAGGGATGACAGATTGAAGGCCCTGGGAGTTCTGCCAGATGCTCCACTTGGCCACCCAGTGCAAGGCCCTGTGGCAGATTCTGCCAAAAGAAAAAACACCTCCCAGGCCAGGGCATCTGAGGTCCCAGGTGGGTGGGCAGGGTGGCTCTGGCTGGCTCAAGTGTGCATGTGGGGGCACACGGCAGGGCTAGGACAGCACGAGTTAGCGTTGATGTATTGAGCTATGGGCGTAAACCAGGAAGTGTGCCTTACATGAGTTAATCACGAGCGGGGCATCACTGCCACCTGCCTAAGAAAACTAGCACACAGATTCTGGAGTGGGCTGAGTAGCAAGGGCAGTACTGACCCAAAGGGGTCCACCGGGGACATGACAGTCCATGCCATACCTGAATTCTCCAATCTAGCCTGACGCCCTGCTCAAGTGACTGTGGACAGTGTCCCTCTTTCCCACCCTCCCAGACCCTAAATGCCAGGGGCTCCCCGGGAGGCTGGCCAGCCTTGGGACGCAGGATTTGGGGACTCACATATTTAGAGGAAGGGGATTCAGCAGGTGAGCTGGCAATGCCTCCTCCCACCACCAGCCAGAGGAAAGGGGGCTTTTCTGAGAGCTCCCTGGGATCCTCTGCAGTCTGGGGAATCCTGTGGACAGATGCCTTGGCCCCTTCCTCCCGTAAAGTCTAGAAGGTGAGGTGGCAGGGCTAAGGGAGAGCCAGTAGCTGGGATGAGACCTCCTTTGGGAGCTGGCATGGGGTTCCTTGGGCCCGGTTCCAGGAGGCCACTCAGTGAGGGAACAGACCTCAGCCAAGGGATTGTGGGCCAGTTACTGCATGCTGGGAGTCCTTGGTTCCCCAAGAGCCCTATGAAATCCCCCAACCAGGGGGCGGGACAAGGGGTAGCTCCCAGCAATGGCCAGACTCAGAGGACCCTTGGAGGTGCCCCCAGGAGAAAGAGGCAGAGCTTTCAGCCCCACCACACCACAGAGTAGCTCAGCTGGAGGCTGACCCCGTGGCCTGCCCAGCAGCCCGCTCCCACCCACCAGGCTGAGCAGACACCGTGGGAGAGGTGGCTGTGGGCGGCCTGCTGCTGAGCTGACCGTGTGTGACACTGCTGGAGAAGCGTCCTGCACTGGGAGCTTTCTGTGAGGCTGTGTCAGGGCTGGTGAGCAGGTGCGCAGGGAGCTTGAGGTAGGGAAGGCTCGAGGAAAGCTGCCACAGGTGGCTTTGGCTTCACAGCTGTGCCAGCTCAGCCTCCCTGACCCTTGGAGCTTTGTGACGCCCAGACAAAGGCTGCGGTGGGCAGCAGACCCTTGTGGAATGCCTGTGAGGAGGGGTCTGCACATGCGCAGTGAGACCCACCTGCACCCGAGGGGCTTCTCACAGGTGGGGGCTTGTTGGCGAGGGGTATCTCTCTGTCTCTGTCTCTTTCTCTGTGTCTCTGTCTCTGTCTCTCTCTTCTAACAAAAGAAAGGGCCCCAAAGAAAAGATAAAGGTCTGGGGGCACGGAGCTGGGTCTGGGGGCCTGGGGAGGAGGGATTTGAACTTGGGCCTGGAGTGGAGGCCAGGAGCAGGAATGGAGGAAGGTCCCAAAGACCCCAAGACTTGTAGGTGGGGTCAGCAGAGCTGGCCTTGAAGCCATGCCTCCCTTTCCCACTGCAGACCTCCCGCCCTCGGCTCTGGCCTTGTGAGGAAAGCAGCTGAGACCCATCAAGCGGAAGCGGCCGTGCTTAACCACGCGGGCCTCCTGCAGCCTGCTGCCTTGACCTTTTTTGGGTTCAACGTGCCTCCAGAGAATCTCCCAAAATGCCAAGTCCCTCTTGGGGAAGGTTGGCCGATGCCCAGGCGCCCACAGCACAGCCTGCAGGAGGCCCACTGCAGGGCCTTGCTCGGGCCCTTTCTCCTCCCTGTGTCCCACAAAGGCCCAGTGCAGGGGACCCGGTACTGCCTGTGGCCCCGAAGAGGACCCTGAGAGGGAGGCCAGGGAGGAAGGGGTTGGGGGGCACATGATCCTGACAGGGCACTCACACCTGTGTTTCTTCGGGACGCCCACCTGGGTGCAGGGGGAGATTCCAAGGCCAGAAGCCCGGTGACCCAGCAAGGGCAAGCAGCCGTCACAGGCCTATTCTTTGCAGCTTGTTAATTCCAAAGAAAGCGCCTCAGAGGACTGGCATTTCAGCGAGTGTGCCAAGCAGCGGCATGGTGACTGTCCAGAGGGCGCTGGCCTGTGGGAAGTGGCTCTGGTGCTGCCTCCGTGGGCTGTGCTGAGTCGGGCCAGGCCTGGCCTGCACCGTGTGATAAGCAGGTGTCCCAGCGGATGCATGGGACCTGGCATGGAGGTGTCAGGTGCATCTCACCCACCCATTGTGCCCACTGTGGTTGGGAGGAACAGTGCGTGTACGGCTTCACCACTCTTTCCCGTGGCTCGGGAAGACCCTTGAACTTTCTGGGTCTCTTTATCACTCTGGGGAGGATAATGATGCTCTTCTCCCGGGGCTGCCCTGAAGACTCTGAATGCTCCAGGTGTCCCTGCTCACAGAAGCTTGCTCAGAGCCAAGGGAGGTGAGCTGTCCCCCACTGCAGAAGGTCAATGGGCTCCCAGGAACTGTGGCTCTGATCTGGCAGCTACAAGGGGCCTGCTGTCCCTTCCTTCTGGGCGCAGCTATGGACGGGGAGTCGGGGTCTGCTGAGTGCTTCGCACGGCATGAGCCCCAGGGTACCCTGAAGTCCTGCCCACTGGACACTGGGGCTGTCCCGCCCCCTCTGGGGACAACCATCCTTGCCTCAGTGGGGCCACAGCTCCTGGCAGCTTTCTTCCCTCAGGATCTGAAAGTTGGGGGGTGGGGAGGCCATGCAAGAGCTTTTGTGCATACTGCAAAGGAGGGGGCATCTCCGGCTCTGTTTCCATGGGAACCACTGGCACAGGCTGGCTCCTCAGGGCACCAAAAAGGGAAACTTGGCAGAGGTTTCAGGCACTTGCCTTCTAGGTGGCTTCCCTGATGTCCGAAAAGATGCTCCCAGGGGTACCAGGGCCCACCCCAGGGGTTGGGAGGAGTCCCTCAGCTTCGCTGAATGTGGTCCCACATTCAGAGCCAGGTGGGTATCAAGGCATTTGGGAAATGTAATGGGCTTATGCCTTGGGAGAGGCTCCCATACTGTGACAGGCAGGTGATTAAGAGTGGGGAAACTGAGGCAGGAGGATCACAAGTTTGAACCCAGCTCGGGCAATTTAGTGACTGGGTGACACAGTGTCTCAAAATAAAAAATTAATAAAAGGGCTCAGGATGTAGTTCAGCGCACAGGTCCTGGGTTCAATCCCCTGTGTAGGGGGAGACGCTGGGCAGGAACAGGTAGAAGAGCTGGAAGGAGCCCTGAGTGTCACACTGATGATGCAGCCCCTTCGGCTGTCACTCTTTCTCCATCTACAAAGCCATTCTGGACCAGTACCTGGAGCCAAAGTCCTAAGCAGAAGATGCTGGAGATGCCAGGGCTGCCATCTCACCCTCACTTGCTCGGCATTGCCCTGGGTACCTGAGGCCACACACCTGGAGTCCGGAGGCGGGGTCTGCAGGTGGGGAGGGCCCGGCCCACCTGGCAGGTGCTCCCCACACAGAGCTCCACTGCTGCCCCTCCCCCTTCTTAAGGTGGCAACTCCAGTCTAGGCCTCGCCTCTCCCAGCCCCGCCCCCGCCCACCAGGGAGTCAGGGAGCAGAGCGCTGGGTTAGAGGACACCGGACAGCAGGGGGACAGAGAAACAAGGGCGGGGAGCCCCGGAGAGCCAGGCGGGACTGAGTGGCTGCAGGGCCCGGACTGGGAAGCAGACAGTGGGGGACTGGGATTGAAAAGATGTGAGGCAGATGCAAGCATGTGTGTGTGTGTGTGTGTGTGTGTGTGTGTGTGTGTGTGGAGAGAGAGAGAAAGTCAGACAGAGGGAGAGAGGGGAGAGTGAGAGACACACAGAGAGAGAGGGAGGGAGGAGGCAGAGCAGCGAGGGTGGAGCGGTCGGAGCTGGCGCAGAGGGAGGGTGGAAGCGGTGGGCAGGGGGCGGGGGAGAAGGCACGGTGACAATCACATCTGGTCCGAGCAAACATGAGGCAGCTGCCAGCCGGGCCGGGTAGTCCCATCCGCTCGGGCTGCGAAGTGGAGACGCTGGCCACAGTTCCGTGCGGTGCCCAGGATGCAGCGCGCAAAGGTAGGCACAGGTGGGCCGGGGGCACTGGCCTGGGACAGCGGGGATGGGGGCTTCAGAGGTTCCTGTAGGCAAGGGGCCGCCTGGTCGTGGTCACTGCTGTGAGGCCTTTTTCTTTGGCCCGTATCTCCCACTGCCCCTTCTAAGGTGGCTTTGGGGACAGTGAGTGTTGGGACGTCCTGGCGGGGATGCCAGACTCCTGGGGCTCTCTGGATGGAAAAAGCTTTAGGTGCTTGTGGAAAGCAAACTGCACCGAGGGGCGGGAGTTGTGCTCAGTTAGTCCCTGCGTGGGGGCGAGGGTGGCCCACCTGAGCCTGAGCCCCACAGCCCTGAGGATGGGGGCGGCTGGCACGCTGGAGGGGGCGTCTTACACCTGCTGGCCAGCCAGTGGATGCGTCTCATAACCAGTCACCCAAGTAATCGGAGAGTCCTCTGTTTGCTAGAAGGGCTAGGAGAACGCTAAGGAAGACAGTTCTCTCTCCGTGGGCTGTTGGGAGGTGCAGGGGAGGAGGCAAGCAAACCTCCCCAGCAGCGTTGAAGAACAGCGGTGAGCGAGGGGCAGGATGAAAGAAAACCAAGTCAGGAAGCGTGAGGGCAAAAAAAAAGAAACTGCCCTCTGAAAAGCTGGCCCAGTGCCCTGCGAGTTGCTCACATGTCCGGGACAATCTTGCTTTGGAAGAAGGAAGAAGCACCAGGATCGGGTGCTCCGAGCGGAACACCCCACATCATGGTGGTTGGGACAAGGGCTGATGCATCTTTCCTCCTGCGGAAGTCCAGAGGGAGGCAACGAGCACTTGGGCTCTCGCCGTCCTCCTTACTGGCTTCCACCTTTGAGGTTACCTTAGGGTCCAACGTGGCTGCTGGAGGTCCAGCCAGCACACCCAGGCAGCAGGAGGGAGAACGAAGAAAGGGCAAATTGGGACCCAAATAAAAGCAGGGTCTCTGGGAGTGAGACTAGACATTGGGCTGGCCTCTCAGTCTCTCCTCCCTGGAGGTGGCTTCCTGCCCCTCCCCTGTGAGGTTGAGCAGCTGGAGAGGGCTTGTGGTTGGCTTCTGCATTCCTCAGCCCGGCCACCCCTGTTTCCCAGGGATGCCAGAAGGACCAGCGGAAGTGGTGACACGTGGCCCGTTAAGCTTGTAGTGGGGACACATTGAAGGTGCTGCGTCTCCTGTCACAAGGTTCCCAGGCAGGCACGACAGAAGCATAGAAACTTAGCACTTTGTCCCAGGACCATGCTATGTGCTCACTGCATCCATGCCAGGTACGACACAGGCCACGTGTGTCCATGGGCAATGTCGTGAGTGTACACTGCACAGCCATGGCAACATGCATCCTGCATCCTGCTGCAGTACCGCACCGGAGCTGTGCAGCGGGGCCCTGGATGTCCCCAGCTCTGCCCACGGTGGAAGACAGTCCCCCTTCCCTCACCTCTTCTCAGGAGCTTGTCGCCAGGGGTCACCTGGGAGCCTGGCCACTGCCCCTGCCATATGGACAGAGTGAGTGTCCTGAGGCCACAGGTGCATGTGGTTCTCTGCTTGGCCATTATGACACTGGGCCCTTGCCATCTTCATGCCCCCCATCCCTATGGCCTGCCTGTGTCCGGCCTGGCCAGGCACTGAGAGGACCCCACACCTCCTGGTGCCAGGCCAGGCAGGGACAGTGGTCCTAGGGGAAGCAGCCACAAGTCCCTCACCCACAGAGGTTAAGGAATCCACCTGTGTCCCTAGCAGCAACGGGGACTGTAGTCAGTCACGGTCAGCAGCTTCCCATGGCCCCACCCTGTGTCCTCTCCCTGTGGCCCTTCACCACTCCTCACTCGACCTTGCAAGTGGGCACTGCCACTCCCAGCCCCAGAGCACGGCCACTGTCGCAGCTCCAGACCTCCCTGAGCTTGCGCGCCCTGGACCTTAGGAGGAGGAGCAAGCAGCTCTGGCTCTGCTATGGTGAGCGGGGCCGCTGTCCGAGGCTTCCGTGGTGATGTCTCCACCACCCAGCCTGGTGCCCAGAACTTCTCCTTGCAGGGTGCTCATGGGAGACATGCTCTGATTTGCTCCCCTGTTTCCAGACAGCATCTGAGAGGTGGGCTGGGGTGGGAGGGGAGTGCACTTGCTCTCCAGCTGGAGTCTGATAGAGGGAGAGAGACAGGGCTGGAGGGTGGGACCCTGAAGTGCGCTCTGTTATCCTCTGTGTCATCTCCTCACCCTCATGCAGCCCATGAGGTAGCCCTCGCTATTGTCCCCACTTTACAGATGAGTAAGTAGAGGCCTGGCCACAGTTGCAAGAACAGTGTTGTAGCTGGGATTTGAAGCCTGCTCTGTCTTGTTCCAAAGCTCAGATCCTGAGGGGTGGGAGAGGACTACAGGGGAAGGGGACACAGCTCTGAGCAACAAACAAGGGGGATGGCCCAGTGTGCCTTGGAACCTGCTAGTGAGTGACATAGGCCATGTCCGCTGCATTAGCCACACCACCGTGAGCCGGCGGCCTCTCCTTTCTGGGCTGTGTAGCTGAAGTATGAAGGAAAGGACCCCAAGGTTTCAAACTCAGGTTCTCCTTTCTTATCAGTCTCCCACAAAAGCGAAGACCTGCTTTGCTGACTTGGCTGGCATGAGGGCCCCCCGTCCACAAACTTGGCCTCTGTGGGATTCCCCTCCCTCCCAGCGGGAGGGTCCCCCATGCAGCCTGTGTGAGGGAGAAGGGCTTCCAAGGACTGCAGACAGAGGCTGGCACATCTGCCTTGCGGGTGGCCCAGAGAGGGCAGGAGGTGGATGAGTCACCAAGCCCCTCCCCTGCTCCCTGCCAGCTGATGTTCCCCTGGAGCAGGTGCAGCCATCAGCTGTGAGCAGTCCACGTCCTAGAGCTCCACAGAGCAGCCACGTGGCAGCAGAAATCCAAGGGGACCCGCAGGTGCCAGCGTTGGAGTGGGGACAGCTGAGCTTGGCAGGGGGAGAGCAGCCTGTCCCCCTTCAGTTGGCCTGGCCTCTACCCTCTGAGGGTAGTCTCAGCTCTCTGCCTGAATGCCTCCACCCAGCCGTGCCTCCAGCTGTGGGTGTCCTCTAGGGTAGATCTGGGCTCCCTGTTCCCAGCCCTGGTGTGAGACTAGGGATGGGCATCCATGCAGTGGCCCCAGCCGGTCAGCTTCCAGCCCTGACTCTGGGCCAGGCCGGGCCCTCCCAGGCCGGTGCCCCTCCATCGGAGCCTGAGATCTGCTCACAGCCTCTGCCAGGCCCCCAGCTGGGCTCAGGGCCCCATGCCAGGCAGTTGCGGGGGAGCTGGGAATGCCGCATGCCCACTGGCCCACCGCTGTGCCTCAGTCCTCACCCCCTGCTATTAAAGGGCCCAGGCAGGCAGGGGCTGTGCCCCGTGAGCTCTTAGCCCTGGCTCTGCTCCAGGCAGACCTGGGCTCAGCCCTAGCCCCTTCCTCCGTTAGCTGCGTGTCCTCAGACAAGTCATCCTGCTTTTCTGTGCCATGGACATTTCACTGGCGTGGGGGAGGTCACCAACCTCACAGGAGAAAGAGACCAGCCCGCGCAGCCTGGCCCCCAGCACAGAGCAAAACTCCGTGCGTGCTGGGAATGTCCGTGCCATCATTTGCTGGCTGTTCAGTAGAGTGTAGGACCGGCGGCCTGAGAGAGAATATTGTCAGTGAGTGGCTCAGGTCAGCCCGGGGCACAGTGTGCCCTCATGGTCACAGGAGGAGAGCTTGCGCCCAGGCTAAGTTGGCGGCCGACAGACCAACAGACATGACCGGCAGCTCGGTTCTCCCTTCTTCTGTCCCGTGCTCAGTGACACCCAGGAAGGTGCGTGTGCACTTGTGCGTGTGCGTAGGTGTGTGTGTTTGTGCCCGTGTGTGTGCACACCCATGTCTGCAGGGACATGTGACAATCTCAGCTTCAACCCATAAGATGAGCTCCTGGCCCCCGGCTGTGCCGGGGTGGGTGGTGAGCTCAGGCTCCCAGCCCCCCATCCCCAATCCTGGGGCCTGCATGACGCAACACCCACCACTGCTTCCTGCCATCTGTCCCAAGAGATGGAAATAGAGCATATGACAAGTGGGGGCTGGGTGCAGCAGCCTGCACTGCAGCTGCCCCCACGAACGGGGACTGGCCAGCCCCACATCCGAGCGGCCCTGCAAGTCCCTGGCTAACCCAGGCCCTGGTTTTGGGGTGGCCCTTGTGGGAGGGAAGGGGCTAAGAAGCTGAGCCCCCTCCCCCATAGGCGATGAGTTCTCTAAACTTTAGCTGCACCCCAGATCGACTGGGACACTCCTAAAAACAAGCTGCCTGGGCCCCTGTGAATCACACCGTGCAGTCCCCAGGCAGCTCACCTTGAGCCTCTTCGTGTCTCTGTCTGTGTGACCACTTCCTCTGGCCGCAGATGCTGGAAGTAATGCCGACCTGCCTGAAATCGCCCCACCCTTCCCCACCAGCTCTGTCTTCTGCCCAGTGTCCAGTGCATCCTGGTGGCTCTTGGGATACTGTCCATTGCTGTTTCCCAGCTGTGAGGTCTGCAAATAGCTGGGAGAAGTTGGTGGCATGCTTTGCATGTGCGTCTGCCCACAGGACATGGGCAGGGGCAGGCACAGCAGCTGGGCCTTTCAGGACCCCTGGGCCAGGGAGCCCCAGGGGGGACACCCAGTGTGGTCATGAGGTTCATCTCAGGTGACCCAAGCTCTCCCTAAGGCACAGTGTGGGGTCTGTAGTGCAGAGTCTGGAACATGACCAGGGCAGGTGGAGGAGGGATCGTAGTCCTGCTTCTCCTCCATCTCCAGCGACACAGTTTTCTCAGGGACCGGGTGTCGCCCCACCTCCTCACTGCATGCATCTAAAGCAGACACTAAATACCAGCCTCACTGACAATTCATGCCATCCAGTTGCCTCTGCCTGACAGCTCTGCCTTCCTTTCCTGGACTTGGCCACCCCCCGCCTTAGTCGCTCTCCTGCTTCGCTGTCTCCTGCACCCGCCATGCTGTGCTGAGAACTTTTCTGAAACAGCGTGGCTGACC